GAGCAAGGTTTGATCACTTGTGACAAGGTGCTGATCACTTGTCTCTTTTCAGGTACGTGATTACATCCATGTTGTTGATTTAGCGGATGGGCACATTGCTGCACTACACAAATTATCTGATCCGAATATAGGTATGTTTGGTTCCTTGTTTTGTTAGAATGCCTTAACTAATTGGTTTATTGTAACAGAGCAGAGTCATAAATGGGAGTGGTTTTATTGGTTCTTTCTTGGTTGTTATTTTTCTAGAATTGCAACTATTTATTCTTTGAATGTTAGCTTGTGAGATCAACGAGTTATGAAATTTTCAACAGCATATGTTAATGAACATATAATTGTGGATAGCTTTCTGTAAAATTGGTCCTTACGAGCTTATGCTATTTCAGGTTGTGAGGTCTACAACTTGGGAACAGGAAAGGGGACGTCAGTTTTGGAGATGGTTGCTGCATTTGAAAAGGCATCCGGAAAGGTGTTGTTTCCTTGTTTGGTTTCTGTCTATTCATATTTGGAGTTGTACTTATTTGTTATTCTTGGTATAGAGTTAACATGCCAACTTTTTTACTTTTATCAGAAAATTCCTCTTGTAATGGCTGGGCGTCGACCTGGTGATGCCGAAATTGTTTATGCTTCAACAGAAAAGGCAGAGCGTGAATTGAATTGGACGTAAGAGCTTTACATACACACAAAAGTTTGAATTTTTTTTTCCCTGAAGTAGTACAGTTAATGAAACTGCTAGCAAAACTTAGATCTTGTCTCATCATTTTATACTAATTTTTACTATAATTCTGTTGTCTTTGCAGGGCAAAATACGGTATTGAGGAGATGTGCAGGGATCAGTGGAACTGGGCCAGCAAAAACCCATATGGATATGGATCTTCTGAGTCAACTAACTGAGTGCCAAGACTTTGTCACCCCACCATTCTTATCAAAAACACTTTCTCAGATTAGACTTTCTTAACTTTAATTTCACAGGTTTATAGGCTATTATCACTTAGGTGTTACGATTATAGAGAATAAGGGGCACTTTGTTTAGGCTGCTTCGATTTCTCTGAAGCTGGTGTTGTGCCCCTCATTGCTACTATTTTCTTTTCTGGCTATTTGTCGAGTTAATTCATTTGACCCCTGTTATAATGAACTACGACTATTTTAATGACAATATCCTCTTTGTCCTTTGTAATTTTTATGTTGTATAGAATCTTGGTTCCAGTCTTTTACTCTCTGCCCCCTTCCCCTCTATCCCTAAATATTACAGTTTCAAAGAGAAAGGCATGAATCTCACGTTGATTTTGTAAGTGTTTATATTATTTTTAATTTATGAAATGATTTTTTGTGAAATAAAACTATGAAGTGCAATAATACAAGTGTAACAGAAACAAGAATTTAGAAGGGTCTTTAAAATATTTGAAGTTAGATTGTGAGCAGGGTGGGGTGGTGGGTTGGGGAGGAGGTCGGGGGGGGGCAAGGTGGCCCACCGCTACAAAAGGCAAGAAGCAACGGTATGCTGGTCCCCAGGGCACGCAGGGGTCCAACGGCTTTAATGGGTTTGTTTGAATGGTATTAGCATTAGCATTCTTTTCGAGTCAAGAAAATGAACCCACTCTTGTCTTTCCTAGCCTCTCAATTTTTTATTAATTTTTATTTTCTCATTTGATGGGACATAATAGAATATAAATATATAAATTTTACAAATTCAATGCGTGTCTCTATGTGATATTGATATACAATTTATGACGTCATATATATGAAGACTTATCACGGCCAAAGAGATTTCAGTGTCTGTTTGGATGGATAAAAGTGGAATGCAAACGCATCCACTACTGCCCATTTTCTTTATAATTTAAACCAAAATAATAAAAAAAAATAAAAAGAGGAAATGAGGATTCGCCAAGTGTTGCCAACTGCAAATGTGCCGTTGGGCCAAAATGCATTTTTTTTAAAAGATGGTGGGTCCTTTTGGTTTGGGTTTTGAATTTTGCAAGGCCTCCCACTATAGACAAATATGAAAATTAAGGAGAAAAACCAATAGTTGAGAATTTAATGATGACTAATTTGAATCTTTAACCTTTGTCCTTTTTTATTTTAATTATTCTCAATCGGATTTTTTTTCCTTTTGCATAATTTCCTTATGGTTTTGAATAAATTTAAATCAGTAATTATTTATTTATAAAAACCTTCAAACCTTAGACATAAACTAGACAAACGCGGCCTTAGAAGAAATAGGAAGTAAATAGAAAATGACTTTGCAACGAAAAACTCGCGAGTCAATTTGCCCAATGGCTAAAAAACCCAAGTGATTTACCCAACCGCCTCGTTAATCGTAGTTATCACTACTCCCCCGGAGTTGCTTACTCTCTTGTCGTACGACTAACCTTTACTGTTGGAAGTCATCGACATGTCGCTTCGCTTCAAACGAAGAAACAAATACAAAGATAAAACGGGTGGCAAAAAATATTAAATTAAAAAAATAATTAATTAAAACGCGCTTCACTTTAAAGCTACTCTCTTGTTCTCCTCCCCTTTCAAAAACTTAAAACGCGAAGTCTTCTCTCTCTCTTTTTCTCTTTCTCTGGACGGCACTTTTTCGCGTTCTCGCACAGATCTGACGGTGCCGTTTTTACTTCAGCAGGTCAGATCTAGCTGATCTGAATCCGACGCCGTCTTAGTCACCGGCTCCGATCTTTCTTTTTTTTAAAAAGAAATGGATAATTTGATTTCTCTTGTCAACAAGATTCAAAGAGCTTGCACGGCTCTTGGTGACCACGGTGAGGCAAGCGCATTGCCTACTCTTTGGGACTCTTTACCGGCGATTGCCGTCGTCGGCGGTCAGGTCAGCAACCGTTCTTACCTTCTCTTTTCAATTTTTGTCGACTTTTTTTCTTCTTTTTTCTTTTATTTTCAGCTGATCTGAGATTGGAATTTCAACAGAGTTCAGGGAAGTCTTCGGTGCTCGAAAGCATTGTCAGCAAGGATTTTTTACCGCGTGGATCCGGTAAAAAAATAAATTTACCTCATTCAATCTTATTCTTCCTCGCTAAGAACTTAAGAAATGATCTTTTGGCTTTTTGCTGGGTTAAAAATTAACGCAGGAATTGTTACTCGGAGACCTCTGGTGTTACAGCTTCATAAGAGTGAAGAAGGAAGCAGAGAATATGCTGAGTTTCTTCACCTTCCAAGAAAAAGATTCACCGATTTCTGTAAATTTCTTTCTTTTTTTTTCTCCTTTCAGCTTTTTTCCCCATTTTTACCATAAGGTAATCTTGGATTTTAACTTAATCACTATCTGTGTTATAGCTGCTGTTAGGAAGGAGATTCAAGATGAGACGGATAGAGAAACTGGCCGAACCAAACAAATCTCCAGTGTTCCAATTCATCTTAGTATATATTCTCCCAACGGTATGATCTGGATATAAATTGTTCTTTTCTTTTTGGTAGATTATTTGATTCTTTGTAAAATTTCCAGCCCTTTTCTTGACGTCTTGATTTTTTTTTCTCTGTTTAATTTGTTGCAGTTGTCAATTTGACTCTAATTGACCTTCCTGGTCTTACGAAGGTAGCAGTAGGTAAGTGTAATGCTTATCACAATTTTAGTGGTTTTTTATTGACCGCAATATGTTTCGGGGACCTATAAACACGTAATTATCAAAATTGCATTTTCCTTTGCTATGTAAAATGGAGTATAAGAAATATGGCATCTTGCCACTTTAGCACTTAACACCTCCGCCTCCCCTCCCCCCATTTTTTGTTCTTCTCATTGCTGTATAACGGGCAAGATTCTTTTAGATTAAAAGGTAAAATTGATGGATTATCTGGCTAAATGCAGAGGGTCAACCAGACAGCATTGTGCAAGATATTGAGAATATGGTTCGCTCCTTTATTGAGAAGGTAAAATGTGTTGTCTTTTTTGTCTAAGTTCAGTGCTCCCGTTGTCTGGAAATTTACTTCAATAAAATTCAAAATGATGTTTCAGCTGACTATTTTTATGATAATAATTATTTTTAATGTTGTTTCAATTCAAGTTGTCGGAAAAGTGGGTTGTGGATAGTTGTTGCTGCCCTTTTTCCTCTGATAACTTTGCAGTGTACATTTTTTTTCATGATTTATGCAATAATGAAAGCTGAATAGTGCTTCACTATCCCTTTTTCCTGGACTTTTTATGCAGCCCAACTGTATAATCTTAGCAATTTCACCTGCTAATCAAGATCTTGCTACATCAGATGCAATTAAAATCTCACGTGAGGTGGACCCTACAGGTAAGCTCTTGCAATGCCAGTTCATGCTATATTTTTTTTTCTTTGTCAGGCACCTCAAAGTTTTTATCTTCTGTACTTGTCGATTAGTACGAAGCCATGGGTGCTTTTTAATTTGTATGTTGTAAAACATTGCTATGATATGTAGAGTTTTTGACTTTGTGGTTTCTAATACTTAGTATTGGTATAACCTTTCAGGGGAGAGGACACTTGGTGTCTTGACAAAGATTGATCTGATGGATAAGGGTACTGATGCGGTTGATGTAAGTTGATTTATGCTTGATATAGACATGCTAATCTTATTGCAGTCCTGAGTATTTGAAGCCTTTGGCATTATCTTGTTCTGATTCGTATTTCTGTTGGCTTAGATATTGGAAGGAAAATCTTATAGGCTGAAATTCCCTTGGGTTGGTGTTGTGAACCGCTCACAAGCAGATATTAACAAGAATGTTGATATGATTGCTGCTCGGCGCAGAGAGCGAGAGTATTTTGCTAATACACCAGAGTATAAGCACCTTGCTCACAGAATGGGTTCTGAGCATCTTGCTAAGATGCTCTCAAAGGTATGCTAGTGGGCAATTGTGCTTGTTTTCCTTTTTCTTAAACCTTTTTAATCCTCAATTTTTGCTTGCAAAGGACAGGCTGGTACTCGATTCCAGCATACCTTTTCTTCAATTGTAGTAACCTAGTTGAAATGTTTAATGTGTCAGCATTTGGAAAATGTAATCAAGTCCAGAATCCCAGGCATTCAGTCCCTTATTAATAAAACAATTGCTGAACTCGAAACTGAATTGAGTCGCCTTGGAAAGCCTATTGCAGCTGATGCAGGCGTAAGTGTGCTCTTCCTATTTTCTGTGTGGGTGTGTGCGCGTGCACGTTCGGATTGGTTGAATATGGACTTTTTGCTATTCCACTTTCAGTTGATTTTAAGTTATTTGAGAATTGCTGATGTTTGAGATGATTATACAGGGAAAATTGTACACAATTATGGAGATTTGTCGTCTTTTTGATCAAAATTATAGGGAACATCTGGATGGCGTGTATGTATCAAAACTCTTGTTTATCTCACCCTTACGTCACCTGTGTCCTGGCATGTATGGATGGCATCTTTTTGACTTTAATTATTGTTCACAGGCGACCTGGTGGTGATAAGGTTTACAATGTTTTCGACAACCAGCTCCCTGCTGCTTTGAAAAGGTTGCAATTTGACAAGCAACTTTCAATGGAGAATATTAGGAAGCTCATTACTGAAGCTGATGGATATCAACCTCATTTAATAGCTCCTGAACAAGGATATCGTCGTTTGATAGAATCTACTTTAATTACTATTAGAGGTCCAGCTGAGGCTGCTGTTGATGCGGTACGAAAGAAAATTTTAGAAATATGGTATATTATGTTCGATTGGGCATGTGGAGATTACTCTGTACCTATTTCTTAAAGATCATAGCTTGGATCAGTTTAATTATGAATCATTCCCTTTAAAACCTTTTCAAAAATTGAGAATCTTGGGATGTCATTCTTTCACATCTTGCCATATGTTATATGAATCTTTAGAATTTACTAGAGATCAATTTTTCATTTTGTGGGTGGGAAGGGATCGCGGATGTAAAATGCATTGAACTCTAGACTTTTTGCTATCTTGGGGAAGGAAGCATGAGGAGTCTCCACAAAGGCAGCATGCATTGCTGCACCTTAAACATTCCTACTATATTATTTGTCTACTACATCACGTGTTTTCCTTTTAAATATATGAATAACTCTGCATCATGCTGTTCACACAATCATGCTTCAAAGTGGATTGATTTTATTTATCTCATTTTTCAGGTTCATTCCATTCTGAAGGATTTGGTTCACAAGGCTATGAGTGAGACACCAGTAGGTTCTTGTCTATGCAATATCTTATACATGTATAAAAGAAATTATGCCTGTTGGAGCATTATAATTCATACCATCAATTTGGTTTTGTTTTCAGGAGTTAAAACAGTATCCTGCTCTCAGGGTAGAGGTTGGAAATGCTGCAGTTGAGTCTCTTGACAGAATGAGGGAACAGAGCAAAAAAGCAACACTTCAATTGGTTGATATGGAATGTAGTTACCTTACAGTTGATTTCTTCCGAAAGCTTCCTCAAGATGTTGAGAAGGGTGGCAACCCTACACAATCAATATTTGACAGATACAATGACTCATATCTGAGGAGAATTGGTAGGTTCATAACTCAAAAAAGAAGTTTCTTGAAGGACAGATCTCTGTTGTTTGAAAGTTCAATGCATGATATTAAAATTGAATGTATTTTATTGCTGATCATGGGCTTCTCTTGACAATGAATGAGCAGGGACAACCGTTTTGTCTTATGTTAATATGGTTTGTGCTAGTTTGCGACACTCCATCCCGAAGTCCATTGTGTATTGTCAAGTCCGTGAAGCTAAAAGAAGCCTGCTTGACTTTTTCTACACTGAATTGGGTAAACTGGAGGTGAGGACAGTTCTCTCTCTTACCATCTACTTGTTTCTTATTTTGTTGAAACTAATGATTTGTGTGATTGACTGGCTGGAAAATTCTTGTAGCAAAAACGATTATCAGCATTGTTGAATGAGGATCCAGCAGTCATGGAGCGACGTAGTGCTCTTGCAAAGAGGCTGGAATTATACAGGAGCGCGCAGGCAGAAATCGATACAGTTGCTTGGTCCAAGTAGGCTGGTGGCATATCTATTCATCTACTTTGCACTCTGAAATTGATTTGATGGGCGGCATCATTCTTTCATTTATGAGCAGAGTCACACTGGGGAAGAACCGGGGAGGGTCATTTTGTTGTATGTCATGAAGGCAAAATAGTTTTAACCAGAAAGCAACTTCTGTCGTTGTGTATGCTACATTTATATATATATCTATAATATACAAATGTTTGCCAGTCTTGGTCTGGGAGTATTTGCGCTTTGTCTAATGTGCTTTTGTGAGCTGCTGCTCATTTTGTCTTTGAAATTGTCATTTTAAAAGGCAGTCTTTTTATTTTAAAATTGTGATAAATTTTCCAAAATTTATAGCGTTTTGCTGCAGCTGATATTTTTTCTGATAAGTCTGTTACGGGTTTACATTTTTAATCTAAAATATATATTTGGATGTATGCGGACTTTGGATTAAAGTGTCGTATAATTAGATGGAATGTACTGTCTAGGTTTTTTTTTTTTTATTTCGAAGCCCAAATATCAATTAAAGCCCATTTCAGACCACGACCGTAAACCCACTTTCCCTCGGGTTTCTAAGTCCAAATTCCGACTCTCAGTCCAAAGTCCGAAGTCGACGCGACGATGTCGTTTCGGATAGAATTAGTGATTTTGGAAACGACGTGGTCTTCGCACGAGGTCTATGGTGTTGCTCTCTTCCCACTTGAGGAATCGCAAAAAAGGGCAGGCAGGTAGCACAATTTAAATCTTCTGTTGGATGAGGGAGACATCTTAACGTTGATTGCTTTATGTCTGTGTCGCCAACCAACTGCTTCAAATTCATAACAAAACTCTTCACGAATCCTATGTATAAGTCACCCAGATCTGCTGTCCCCTTTGATTTCTCAAGAAGGTAATAATCTTTCCTGTAATATTTTCCCCGTTAGCATTTAAAGCTGTCATTGTCGTTTCTTGTAACCGAGTCTGCAGAATGACCATATTTTCTTTTTCTTTGCTTTCTTCGTTTTAGTCTTGGAGAAGCATTTAGATATTTGATTTTTTTTAGGCATTTATCTTGATGGGTTTGTCTTAATCTAGTTTATCTTTCATTATGCTGTTTGTTTGTAGGCCTTTAATTAGTTAGTTAAGTAATATTCTCAAGTAGATTTCAGTTTCATGGCTAACTTGAGGAAGAGGAAGAAGATGCACTGAGATAATGGTAGTTTTAGACATATTCTGTTGGTGGGTTTGCATTGAAATTAGTTGATTCTTGATTATGCTTAGGTGCTTTTAGTTTTTATGGATCTGCATCAATTTGATGATGAGTAGAAATCAGATAAAAAATTTCAACATAGATTACGTGAGGGGACTTTATATGGGGTAAGGTAATTGTTTTACAAAAGGATTAATTGCTATTTTGTAGTTTTGTGAATCTTGGATCACTTTCTCTCTTCTGCCTTGTTTTAATAATCTTTGATTTGGCGGCAACCACAGCCGTCTCACCAGGTACAAACTGTAAAAGACGAGTTAAATGCAACTAAAACATTTTACAAACTTGTAGCATCCGTTGAGAGTTGAGGCACAAGAGTCTGAAGTCTGTAGTATTTAATTTATATGGTGCCCTTTAGAATTTGGATTTTGTGGTTCTCAGAAAGTTATGTGGTGGCTGCCACTGGCTGGCTTGCATGAATTATTTCTGTAAAATTTGGTCTAGGTGCTTCTGCTTGATTCTGCCACATCAAAGTGTGCTAAATTATTCTTGAAATTTTATTTGTTCAAAAATGGTTGGGAACCAATCTGCCTTTTATTTTTTTGTGGTTTAAATTTTCTAATGTAAAATTTACTTGATTAATTAGTTTGTTCTAAATAAACTGGGGAAACCACATTGCAGGCTTTTGAAAAATGTTAAAATGTATTTCCATGATTCCATCCGATGGCTTGTTGGAGAACCCTTTGAAATTTAGGAGCATTGCATGTTTTTGTTGACATTTGCTTTGCCTTGATAAATGCATCTTATTTGGAAAGTCTTTAGATTTTATGTTTTACATATGAAATAATTCGAACTGCTGACTACTTTATGTTCATTGGTTTTACTTGCGCATGCAGCTTAGCCTTTCTAAATATCAAGAAGAAAGAACAGGATCGTGAATGCTGTGATGGCCTCTGAGAGGGAAGATTTTGGTCTTTCAGGGCCCTTACACCTAAATAGTATAGATTGGTAAGATCTTCCTCCCATTAAACAGAAAGAACCCAAGAAAACTTTTAACTTCGAAAGATCTATAACGTCTAAGAACTTGAGGATTTTAGTGCCTATTTTAATCTAAGCAGGTGGTAATGTCTTATGTGCTGAAATATTGTTGTGTTTGTTGTATGCAGGACCAATGCACATCATCGAAGGTCTGTAGCAGCTAGTTTGGTTGAGGGTGTCTATATTTTGGAGCGAGACCGCCAGGAAAAACGTCAAGAATCTCAAGCTCTGGCTCCTCCTTGGTGGGAGTTCTTCCATTTTAAGTTGATTCGTCAGCTTGTTGATGATGCTGATTTTTGCATCTTTGGTGTCATTTACGAGTATAAGCCTCCATCATCTCATTGTCATGACTCAATTGATCGAAGCCCCCGCTATGTGATTGCCTTCCGAGGTACCATAACTAAACCAGACTCCTTCTCAAGAGACTTTGAGTTGGATATCCACATAATACGAAATGGTCTCCATCAGACTTCTCGCTTTGAGATTGCCATGCAAGCTGTTCGAAACATGGTTGCTGCTGTGGGTGATTCAAACGTCTGGTTAGCTGGCCATTCCCTTGGGGCAGCAATGGCAATGCTGGCTGGAAAGACTATGGCTAAGACAGGCATTTTTCTGGAAGCTTTCCTCTTCAATCCACCGTTCTTATCTGCCCCAATTGAGAGAATTAAAGATAAAAAAGTGAAACATGGACTTCGATTTGCTGGCAGTGTCATCACAGCTGGACTTGCTCTTGCCACAAAGGGTAACAGTCTAAGGAGTAGGTCCGAAGATCCATTTGCTGCTTTGTCTGCATGGACCCCATGTTTATTTGTGAATCCTGCTGACCACTTATGCTCTGAATACATTGGTTATTTTGAGCATAGGAAAAAGATGGAAGAGATTGGAGCCGGGGCTATCGAGAGGTTAGCCACCCAGCATTCATTAGGAGCTCTATTTATGAGTGTCGTGGGACAGGGTGCAGAAGCTGCAGAACCACTGCATCTTCTTCCTTCAGCAAATTTGACAGTGAATCTAACTCCTGCACAAGATTTCAAGCAAGCCCATGGGATTCACCAGTGGTGGAGACCTGAACCACACTTGAAGTGCAATCTTTACAAGTATAAATAGTTTGTGCTTGTCCTGATTTATGTTGTATATGTACCATTAGAGGAATCCATTAGTGGTTTCCGTTGCTGTAGATTAAGGAAAACATAGAAACATGTATTGTTTCAGTGTCATCTCAAACTGATTGATTGCAGCCAATTATCTTGTCAAATTTTAGGAAGTCAAAATATGTTGCTACTCTAAACAGCTCAAATTTTCACAAGCGAAAGAGTCTATTGTCACTCTAGGACATGCAGTCTTTCTGCCAAAGGAAATGCAACTCTTAACAAATGCTACAAACACAAAGATTGGTCTTTCTACAGAAGGAAACCCAACTCTTAACAAGTGCTGGATACACATATGAGCACGATAGTACAAGGATAAAATTACTTTCATAGCTATTTTAGGACTACCAAGTTCATAAAGTATGCACTGTGGTAAAAGCATGAAGGGGATCATATCATCTAAGCGCATTGGAGAGAATTAAAAGCTAGCTGGTAAGAGCGCTTTTTAATTCCCTCGAGTAGTAGCCTCATTATTTGCACCATCTTCATTGGGACTTGGAACTCTTATCAGATTGAATCCATGAGTCAATCTGCAAACAAATAAGCGGGACAGAAAGAACAGTGAGTTCAAGATTCCAGAATAAGAAGATCAATGAAGTGCACATCTCCAGCAACTCGAGAGACAATTAAAGAAAAAAACAAACATCAAGGTAAAGAGCAGTAAACAAGGATAAGGGGTTTTCGTTCAATGTTCCCCAAAAACTCTCGAGGCTCGACATCCTTAAGAAAAGACATTGTCATCAAAGCATATATATCTATGATCATAGGCAATTAAAGACTATTCTTAACTGAATAAATAGAATGCAATAGAAAGACTATATGATTAATTATAGGGTAAAATCTTTAGATATTTTTAAATTTTAATCAAAATTATATATAAATTCATTAATTTTTAAAACAAACATTCCGTCTCAAATATTTAAACAGACTAATGTTAAATATAAAATGTTTAAAATATTTTTTTTATTATTTTTTTTCTCAAATTGGCTGGTAGCGTCCATTGGCTGAACACCCATCTCCATCCTGCGCTCCCAGCAGAGCACTACATCGGTGCTCCTTGAGAGCACCGGGGCTCCCCAAGGGTGAACCAGTAGCTCTTATAAGGTTCTCTTTTATTTTAAAAATTAAGATTCGTCTTATTACTATATGATAGGTTAAGGATAGAAATGATAAATTCCTCTCCAGGACCTGCAGGTTTGTTAATGGAAATCTTGAAAATTCAAAGGCATCCTTTCTTAACTTGGTATTGCAATTTCCATATTGTAATTAACCTAAATAAAGAGTGTAAAAGCATTTCTACCAAATAGAAGAAGAAGAAGAAAAAAAAGACAGTACCATCTCCATGATTTCTCGTTCAGTACAAGTCTCATTATCTGCACTATCTTTATTGGGACTTGGAACTTTATCACCTTGAATCCATGAGTCAACCTGCAAACAAATAAACGTGACAGAAAGAATAGTGAGTTAAATATTCCAGAATAAGAAGATCAATGAAGTGCACATCTCCTGCAACTCGAGAGAGAATTAAAGAAATAAACATCAAGGTAAAGAGCAGTAAACAAGGACAAGGGGTTATTGGTTCAATGTTTCCAAACTCTCAAGTCTTGACATCTTAAGAAATGACATTGTCATCAAAGCATACATACATATATATATATAGTTATTATATATGCTGTGCTGGTTGTGTTTGTAGTGATCATAGGTAATCAAAGATTATTTAACTGAATAAATAGAATACAACAGAAACGGCTACATGATTAATTATAGGGTAAAATCACCACACTTTCAAGTTTTGATTATAATTATACAGAAATTCATTAGTTTTCAAAATAAGCACTCCATCCCAACGTCTAAACGAATTAATATTAAATATAACATATCTAAAATACCATTTTTTTACTATTTTCTTTCTATTAAGTCAGCTAATGACTGTTTTCTTATATTGGCTGACCACCTATCTCCACTCTGTTCTCTCCTAAAGAGCACCAGATCAGTGCTCCTTGACAGCACCGAAGCTCCCCAAGGGAGAACAGCACTGGAGCTCCCTTATAATTATAAGGGTCTTTTTCATTTTCAAAATTAAGATTCCTCTTATTACTATTGATAGGTTAAGGATAGAAATGATAAGGTCCTCTCCAGGACCTGCAGGTTTCTCAATTGAAATCTTGAAAATTCAAAGGCATTCTTTCTTAACTCGGTGTTGCAATTTCCATATTGTAATTAACCTAAAGAAAGAGTACAAAAGCATTTCTACCAAATAGAAGAAGAAGTCAGTACCATCTCCATGATTTCTCGTTGAGTTCTGGGCTCAGTATTTGCACCATCTTCATTGGGACTTGGAACTCTATCACATTGAATCCATGAGTCAACCTGCAAACAAATAAACGAGACAGAAAGAATAGTGAGTTAAATATTCCAGAACAAGAAGATCAATTAAGTGCACATCTCCTGCAACTCCAGAGAGAATTAAAGAAATAAACATCAAGGTAAAGAGCAGTAAACAAGGACAAGGGGTTTTGATTCAATGTTCTCCAAAAACTCTCGAGTCTTGACATCCTTAAGAAATGACATTGTCATCAAAACACACACACACACACACACACACACATATATATATATATATATGATTATAGGTAATCAAAGACTATTCTTAACTGAAATGCAACAGAAAGGGATACATGATTAAGTAAAGGGTAAATATCCACACACTTTCAAATTTTGATCAAAATTACACGAAAATCTATTAGTTTTTAAAATAAACATTCTGTCTCAAACGTCTAAACGAGTTAATATTAAATATGAAATATTTAAAATGCCTTTTTTGTTATTTTCTTTCTCTCAAGTCAGCTGGCGACATCCCCTTATATTGGCTGACCACTCATCTCCACCCTGCGCTTTCCTATAGAGCACTAGACCGAGGCTTCCCAAGGGAGAACCGGAGCTCCCTGGGTCTTTTTCATTTTCAAAATTAAGATTCGTCTTATTATTATTGATAGGTTAAGGATAGAAATGATAAGATCCTCTCCAAGACCTGCAGGTTTCTCAATTGAAATCCTGAAAATTCAAAGGCATTCTTTCTTAACTTGGTATTGCAATTTCCATATTGTAATTAACCTAAATAAAGAGTATAAAAGCATTTCTACCAAATAGAAGAAGAAAAAGAAGACAGTACCCTCTCCTTGGTTTCTTGTAGTTGCTGTATCTTTTCACGTAGTTGATGTAGCGTGTTCATGAGATTTGACGTCATAGAGTTCAGCCTTTCATTCTCCTCTCTTAAATGCCTATTTTCGTTTCTTAGCGGCTCCAATTGGGCCGCCGCCATCTTCAATCTCTCAAACTCCATCTTCAATTGCAAATTAAGGGTTGAAACAAACTAGTAAGCAGCAGTACTTAACTAAAACGAACATAAATCACTAGAAATTTCATAGTATGAAATTGTGTGTACTTTATGCTCTCGGCGGCGTTGCCGATCATGCTCATTCTTTGCTCTTCTTTGATCTGGATTTAGTTCACGTCTGTTGTTCATCTTTGCTCCTTGCTGTATTTGAAAATCCCCTGGATTTTTCCTATGTAATAAAAAAGAAAGTAATCTGCTGTGGGCGAGGGTGGTTTGTAGAAGACAAGCGCGCGACGTGTGTGGGGCCGATGGAGGGCGAGGGTGGTTTGTAGAAGAGAAGCGCGCGCCGGGGGTGGGGCCGATGGAGGGTGAGGGTCCTTGACTTTTTGAACTCTCGCTGGAGTTTGTGGAAGAGAAGCGCGCGCCGTGGGTGGGGCCGATGGAGGGCGAGGGTCCTTGACTTTTTGAACTCTCGCTGAATGCCACTAGGGTCCTTTGTATCAATTGGACCAATGATAAGTTCTTCCACCCATTGGTTCCTGTTGCTGGCGGATAAACGAAACGCAGATGCCAGATTGTCTTCAATATGTTATCTCCAACTGATTGATGCCACCCTTCAACTATCCTGTGAAAAACATATAGGAATTGGGTTACTTGTCTTTCAACACCTTTGATTTCGTTCCCAGTCCAAATGATTTTTTACATATCATGTCATGGTGCCTTCCTCTTCTCTTCCAATAACATCCTACTTAAAATTTGTTGCCTACACTTCGCTTGTTTACCAGCAGGGATTGACTGGAAACATTAACAGTTTCTTCCTGCAAACTAATCTCGTTTTCTATGTAAAGTGTTGGGGGCCAGGGAGGCACAGTTACACTTTGCTTGAGCATTTGCTTAACACCGACTTATGTTACTGAGTGTGCTGCCACATGTCCTAGGAAAGCTTGGGGTACTGTTAAATCTGGGAATGATATTCGTCATGTCCTGGACATCAAACCAGAGATTAGCATCTCGTCTCCCCCCACCCCCTCATTTCTTTCAAATTTGAGGTCGACTGACGTTGTCCAACAGACATAAGTGAGGAGGGAGAACTGGAAAAGGGGAGAGAAGAACAGAGTCGCGTATTGTAGTGATACTGCATTACTGCATTTCTGGACTTCACAGACTTCATTCCCATCAAATAAAGCAACCAAAAATGCCCATCTCCCTTACATTCAAACTCAAACTTGTTAAACAATTATAGTATTGTGGAAGTTATATTTTGGAGTCTAAACATAACTCAACGTAGCTTAACTTTAACCCCTTACTCCTCGGCAACTACCCTGCTGTCTTCTAAGCCTGCACTAGGATCAATTAATTTACACTTTACCATAAAAAAAAGTTAAAATATCCTCCTTTTTAAAGTTTTAATCAAAGTTTTAAACGAATTCATTAATTTTTGAAATAACATTTCATCCTAAAAATTTGAATACATTATCAAGTAATATAAATAACTAAAATATTTTTTTTGTTAAATTATATAATTAATCCCTATACTATGTAAAAGACATAAATTTAATCCATATATAATAATTTGTGTGAATTGAATCTTTATATTTTATTAATTTTAATATTTTAACTTTAACATTTTTAAATTTGATCATTAAATATGTTGACGTGTCATTTGACCCAAACTAACATAACACTATTAAAGATGATGTGCCATATTGCTGACATGGCAAACATTTACCTAATAAAAAAATGCTAACTCTCCACATGAATTTAACAAAGAAATTTTTTTAAAAAAACCTTAACCCTAAATTAAAAATTAAATGAAATTAACAAAAATACAATTAAGAATTTTAGAAAAATGATTAAGAGAGAATGAAAAAAAATCTTCAACCGAAGAGGGAGAATCCAAAAAAGGAAAATCAACTGATCTTGAATATGAAATTGAAGGTAGGGAAAATAATGGGTTTTCTTTCTTTGTTGTTCTCTGCACAGCGGCCTTCATCTCTCCATACCAACAGAATGAAAGATAAATAGGGTAGAAGTAGAGAATAAGGGAACCTATTCCACAAGGTAAACTGAAGGACAATGCCAGCAACAAATCCCCAAGGTTCTTACCCCATATAAGTGCTTCGGGATTCTTTTTGGATGTATGCTTTTGCTTATTAGCTCCTCTAAATGCAAGATAACCGATCAAAGAAACAGAACAATCTGCTATTGCAGCGGATGTCAGCTCCACTTTGTTATTCAAACGCCACCAACGCTGGATACTAAATGTAAAAGGAATCCACACTAGATCTCTAAAGACCAATATAAAGCCCAATCTCTTAGCAATTATGTCCTAGGTGGAGGTCATGTACTCCTCATGAACAAAATAGTCCAGAATGTATAATAGACAGAATTAAATTAAGCATGACCAAAACTTTACATAAAAAAAAAAAGTACTTAAGAACACAAATCTAGATAAAAGAATAAACTAATGCATTAAACAATTACATTTTGGAATACTATAAGAGAGGTTTTTGAGGCATGGAGTTTTCGAGAGAGGATGGATCCTTTGAATTGCCCTTTGCATAGCTTGAACTAAAATGGCGTCTGTATACATGAAGACCAAAGAACACAAATCCCATACACAAAGGTAAATCTACATATAATCAGTCAAAAAAATACCTTCCAAATTTGCTATGAATGCCAAGAACACATTTAAAACCACAATGCAAATCTTTTGGGTTTCCTTTCTACCAATATCGGTTACTTAAGAAAAAAGTTTGAGATTTCTTATCCGCCCCAATTGAAGAGAATTACAGATAAGAAAGTGAAACGTGGACTTCGATTTGCTGGCAGTGTCGTCACAGCTGGACTTGCTCTTGCCACAAAGGGTAACAGTTTAAGGAGTGGGTCCAAAGATCCATTTGCTGCTTTGTCTGCGTAGATCCCATGTTTATTTGTGAATCCTGCTGACCACTTCTGATCATGGAAGAGATTGGGGCTGGGGCTATCGATAGGTTAGCAACGCAGCTTTCATTACGAGGTCTATTTATGAGTGTCGTGGGAAGGGGTGCAGAAGCTGCAGAACCACTGCATCTGCTTCCTTCAGCAAATTTGACAGTGAATCTAACTCCTGCACAAGATTTCAAGCAAGCCCATGGGATTCACCAGTGGTGGAGACCTGAACTACACTTGAAGTGCAATCTTTACAAGTATAAATAGTTTGTGCTTGTCCTGATTTATGTTGTATATGTACCATTAGAGGAATCCATTAGTGGTTTCCGTTGCTGTAGATTAAGGAAAACATAGAAACATGTATTGTTTCAGTGTCATCTCAAACTGATTGATTGCAGCCAATTCTCTGGTCAAATTATAGGAAGTCAAAATATGTTGCTACTCTAAACAGCTCAAATTTTCACATGCTAAAGAGTCTATTGTCACTCTAGGACATGCAGTCTTTCTGCCAAAGGAAATGCAACTCTTTAACAAATGCTACAAACACAAAGATTGGTCTTTCTACAGAAGGAAACCCAACTCTTAACAAGTGCTGGATACGCAAAGACTAGCACGATACTGCAAGGATAAAATTGCTTTCATAGCTATTTAAGGACTACCAAGTTCATAAAGTATGCACTGTGGTAAAAGCATGAAGGGGATCATATCATCTAAGCGCATTGGAGAGAATTAAAAGCTAGCTGGTAAGAGCGCTTTTTAATTCCCTCGAGTAGTAGCCTCATTACTTGCACCATCTTCATTGGGACTTGGAACTCTATCAAATTGAATCCATGAGTCAACCTGCAAACAAATAAACGGGACTGAAAGAATAGTGAGTTCTAGATTCCAGAATAAGAAGATCAATGAAGTGCACATCTCCTGCAACTCGAGAGAGTTAAAGAAATAAACATCAAGGTAAAGAGCAGTTAAGAAGGACAAGGGGTTTTGGGTTCAATGTTCTCCAAAAACTCTCGGGTCTTGACATCCTTAAGAAAAGACATTGCAATCAAAGCATATATATATCTATGATGATAGGCAATCAAAGACTATTCTTAACCGAACACAAAGAATGCAACAGAAAGGGCTGCATGATTAATTATAGGGGTCTTTTTCATTTTCAAAAGTAAGATTCGTCTTATTACTACATGATAGGTTAAAGATAGAAATCATAAGGTCCTCTCCAGGTCTCTCAATGGAAATCTTGAAAATTCAAAGGCATTTTTGGTAACTTGGTATTGCAATTTCCATACTGTAATTAACCTAAAGAAAGAGTATAAAAGCATTTCTACCAAATACAAGAAGAAGAAGACAGTACCATCTCCATGGTTTCTCGTTGTTGCCGTCTCTCTTCACGTAGTTGATGTATCATGTTCATGAGATTTGACAACATAGCGTTCAGCCTTTCATTCTTCTCTCTTAAATTCCTATTCTCGCTTCTTTGCGTCTCCAATAAGGCCTGTAACTCGGCCTCCGCCATCTGCAGTCTCTGAAACTCCACCTTCAATTGCAAATTAAGAGTAGAAACAAACTAGACTAGTAAATAGTAGTAATCAACTAGAAAAGATTATAAATCATAGGAAAACAAAAAAGAAAATTCATAGTATAAAATCGTGTGTACTGTATGCTCTCGGCGACGTCGCCGATCACCCTCATTCTTTGCTCTTCTTTGATCTGGATTTAGTTCACGTCTGTTGTTCATCTGACTCGTTAGCTTAGCTCCTTGTTTCATTTGATAATTTCCCGGATTTTCCTTATGTAATAAACAATCAAAGGGGTGGTTTTTAGGAGAGAAGCGCGCGCCGTGGGTGGGGCCGATGGAGGGCGAGGGTCCTTGACGTTTTGAACTCTCACTGACTGCCACGAGGGTCGTTAGTATCAATTGGACCAATGATAAGTCCTTCCACCCATTGGTCCCTGTTGCTGTCGGGTTAAGGAAAAATGGATACTAGATTGTCTTCAATACGAGATCTCTCGCCCTTTTAACTATCTTGTGAAAAACACGTAGGAATTGGGTTACTTGTCTTTCAACACCTTTGATTTCGTTACCAGTCCAAATGATTTTTTTCATATCATGTCATAGTGCCTTCCTCTTCTCTCCCACTAACATCCTTTAAGGAAGCTACTTAAAATTTGTTGCCTACACTTTGATTGTTTGCCAGCAGGGATTGAATTGAAACATCGACGGAGAGAAGCTGCGCCTTTCTTCCTGCAAACTAATCTCGTTTTCTATGTAAAGTGTTGGGGGCGGGGAGGCACAATAACACTTTGCTTGAGCTTTTGCTTTCTTTTCTTCTAGAGTAGAGCCACAACAACACTTGCTTATGTGACAAAAAAGTGTGCTGCCACTTGTCCTATGAGAGCTTGGAGGCTAAACTCTGGGAATGAAATTCGTCAGGTGCTAGAGATCAAACCAAAGATTAGCATCTGGTCTCCCTCCCTCATTTCTTTCAAATTTGAGGTCGACTGACGTGGCCCAACAGACATAAGTGAGGAGGGAGAACTGGAAAAGGGCAGAGAACATAGTCGTGTATTGCAGTGATACTGCAAGCAAAGCCCATTTCTTACATTCAAACTCAAACTTTGTTAAACTGTTAGGCAACATTTGGTACGATAGAAATGGAAATTTATTTTTTGTAATATATTTAATTAAATTATATTATAATATAAATGTAAAATGATTTTAATTTAAAATTAAAATAATTAAATTACAATACATTCTGTATTTAAATTTATTATTTTGTTAAAAATATTTTATAAATTATAATGTTTATATATTTTGAAAAATATCTTTTTAATATTTTTAATAACTATTCTCTATTAAATGGTAAACAGTGAATGCCAATAAAATTTATATTATTTTTTTAAAAAATTAAATATAATATATAATATATAAAATATATTTAAAATTATATAAAATCTTTTATAATTCCATTAATTTTCATCATATTACAAATAATCATATTATATTATAAAATATCAATACTACATTATAATATCGAGAAAGTTATATTTAAATGTCTAAACATAGCTCGATTTAGCTTTAACTTTAACCCCTTACTCCTCGGCAATTACCGTGCTGTCCTCTAATCCCGCATTAGGACCAATTAAATTTACTCATAAAAAAAGGGACAGTAGAAAATGGTCATCAAAAGAACGTGGGGAGGTTTTAATTACCAAAAACAAAGTCAAAAAAGCAAAAAACTCGAGTTTCGAGGTTAGTGGACACTCAATGATGATTTCAGTGTCCTGCTGCTGTCTTGGGTCCCACCCACGTTAAGAACTCCCGCAAATTTTCTTACTCGCGGGTACCACTATTTCTCCTTCTTACCGCTCCGTTTTCTGTTTTCACCAGAATCTGGGACAATTAAATTCACCGGTGATGATCCCAACCTCTGCAGTCTGCAAGGCTGCGACTGATTCAGTTTAAAACGACGACGTCCTCTTTCTCAACTGGAGTCTCACTTGACAGGACAAAAAGAAAAGCAGAAGGAAAAACCAGCCGCATTTTACGCTGCTTTCCAGCTCATTATTCACTGACCTTGCTTCGCTGTTGGACCAAACCCCCAAAAAATTAAGTTCCGGTTTCAGCCTCATGGTTGCAACCAACAAGCAATGAAGCATCATTCTTTACTTACTCTTCAGTTAATCACACTGAACAGAAAAAGTTCTACACTACACAAAGCTTCTTTGCTTACACTTAAAACTTACTTAATAATTGACAAATTAAGCTCAAAACTTTGTTCTTTATACTAAAAGAGCTTACTTGCAACAAAAGGGGAAAAAAAATTCTATTTTTACAGTTTTTTCAACAAATTGGGTATAAAAAATTTAATACCCAAATCACCAAATCCTCCAAAACTGAAAATTTTTAGTAAGAAAAAGCTAAAAATCTAAAATTACATGAACCAAACGTAGAAAAATGGAAAAAAATTAGCAGTGAAACCCTAACACAGATCCATCACTCACAGAAATGGTGATTCTACACCCAGATTTAGCATCCACGTGATGGGTGAAGAAATGCAGAACCCGAACCCGACCCGCCATCTCCATCCGAGACTCAATCTCCATCGTGGGCCCAACTCGATACCCATTATTGCTCCCGCCAAACCCACCAACCAACCCAATGGGTCCCGTCGTCGTCGTCGTCGGAGTGGGAATTGTCATCGTCGCCGCCGACGCCTCATTCAGTGCCGCCAAGGGAAATGACTGAACGGCGAAAGTGGCAGCCATGTACTGGGTCCGACCCGCCTCGATCTTACCAGCGGGTATGAACATGAACCCTACTTGAGAACCCGAGTAGAGAAGCTGGATAGTGCTGTCGTAGTGGGAGAAAGCAGCTCGGTTAGGGTTTTTAACCGTGACGTATTGGGAAAAAGTGAAGCTAACAGAGTTGTTACCGATGGAGAACGACGGAAGCTGGACGGCGTTAACGGAGATCTTCGGGTCTGTAGGTTTAAAAACGGTGAAGTAAACAATGAGCACTATTATCACAACGAAGATCAAGAAAATTGTTGCTACAATGCATGAAGCTAGATTTGTACGGCCAGATGGTGGCCTTTGGGGCTTCACCATGATTTCTTCTTTTCTTTTCTTCTTCTTTTGGGGGGGTTTCGGTAAATAAATGTATTTATTTTGTTTAACTGTTTTCTTGGAGTGATCTCAAGGGAGAATGGAAAAGGCTGAAAAGATAAAATGGATTGCTGGAGATAAGGGGTGTTTGGATGTGGGGAAAGAGTGCTTTTAAGGAGAAGGGAAAGTGGTGTAAGTGATGTGAGAGTAAAGACTTTCAATAGTTTTGTCCTTTTAATTTCTGTTTTGGGCTGTTTTCGTTTTGGGGTTTTGTCTTTTATTGAGGAGATGTAGTAGTTGTTGGATGTTTTCAAGCTTAGACTTTTGGGTCTCTGATGTTTTGGGAAGAATCAAAGATCAACCGAAAGAAAAGTGGACAATTAAGAACAATATAAGAAGAAAAAGAAAAAAGGGCATAAGAGGAGGAGGAGGAGGAGGAGGAGAAAATGTGGGGTCTGTGAGTTTTAAGAGGAGGAGAATGGTTTTGTGAGGTAAGAATGGATAAGCAGATGAGGCCATGAGGCTAGCAATTTTTTTACAACTTCTTGTTTGCTGGGGAAAGTCTCCTTGCAGGCTCTTTCTCTTTTTTGACTATGGGGTTACTTCAGACTTAGATCTCACCTTTTCTTTGGCTTGTTCTCTATATTTTGGGAGGTTTGATTTCTTGGGTCATGCGCGTTGCTATGCTTGCTATGATGATGATTTTGTAAATAACATTAGCATGATCACACTGCAAAAGGCCAAAAAAAAAAGGGTAAGAGTTAGAAAAGTTAAAAGCTTACTAGTGTCTTCTTTCCTTTACGCAGCGGTCAAAAGAAAATCTTTGGGTAAGAGATCTCGATTCCTTTCCATATGCTCACACCGGTATTACTTGTCAACAAGCAAAACTATATTTTCTTCCAAGATGATGTGAAAAAAAAATGGCGGGAAAAGTGGGGAAACTGAAGTAGCCCCTCTTTGTTAGGAGACAAATCAGTACCCTGACAGTGAAAAAGGAAGTTCATGTCAGTGGTGGGCAGATGATGGGGAAATTGCCAAACTTGCAATAATTGAGATGCCAACTGAGCCAGGAATGCTCCAATATCTTGGCCAAGATGATGATGGATCGATGGAGTCATGGAGAGTGGTTTCTGGCTGCAGCCACTTAGTGCGGTCTTTCACCAGGGAGATGATGAACTTTCCACCTGCAGTAACAGTAACAGATGATCATCACATGCAATTTGTTTTTATTTTTATTATTAAAAGAATGCCTCATGAGTCCAGTGTAAGCATTTTGACGTGCCTGGATTTTCTTTCATTTATGAACCACCATCCCATAAAGGCGTTCCCATGCTAGGATTTGTGGCTTTATGGCTATGGACCAGGATGCCAGCGCCACCCCTTGCTTGGAATTGTATTGGCTATATATACCGTTACATTCTCATTCAATCTAAATTTGCCCTAGACGCTATGTAATAATGTAAGCCAAATTTGTTTCGTTTTTGCCAGGCAAGGTAGCAGAAATTGACTCATTAGTGGATTGCCGATTGCCGCCAGCTTCTCTCCTGAATTTGTCAAGTTCAAAAGAAGTTGAAGGTTTCAAATCCATATAAAATACTTTAGTTCAGTAACCCGCTTGCATGTCTGGGCAGCTGAGTAGGAAATCTGCTATGTCTTCTTCCGATATAAGGCTTTTGCAGGCCAGCTTCATTGTCTCTCAGAATAGGCTGTGTCATTAGACAATGGACGAAGCTGATCGTGGCCCAGTAGTAGTTTACCTTGCAGAACCCTCGGCAGGAATTCCACAAAATACCAGGTCCAAATCCAGGTCTTAATAAAAGAATGTAACAAAAAATTGAAAGTTGGTTTAGAATATTTGCATGATACAAAACAGTCTTAACATTTTGTATTTCATTTGCTTCCAGCTTCCCCCTGAAAGATACCGAACGTTCTGGTTACCTTAGTTGGCCATAACAATCAGTGTTACACACCTCCCAAATCTAAATTTTTAGATTAAAACAGCTATATACAAGGCTTATTAGCTCTTTTTGAGCTAGAATCCTGCGATCTATGTAAAATCTTAGCAGAATACATATTATTCATTATCTTTGACTCTGTTCAATATACTGATACACGATCAAGTAATAACTTGGACAGAGTAAAAGAAGGAAAAAACGAAAGCTTCCGGCTCATATAAAAGAAGATAAGCCACCTACATTCGCATAGTCTGCGGTCCATACAAAAATGGACTCATCATTCAGTGAATACGTACAAATATGTACCATGAACTGGGGTTGTGTCAATTTGTGAGCTTGTCAAGCCAAGAGTCCATGACTTGAGAGACAGTTTCAATAAATGCTGCTTCACTCATGCCTGGAAGTAAGGAATCCTGAGCTTCACGAACAATCTGCTCAATCACAGATTCCTTGTTCACAGTTTCTCTGCACATGATGCTTCCAATGGCGAAGGGAGTGAGCGCTCTCTCAGCCCCTTTTTTCAATAACATGGTAGAGATACGGAGTGTGCGAGCACACTCAACAGGAACATCCCACCCATAAAATTTCAGAAGTGCAATATCTTGTTCAGCATCGAGTGACTTTATATAGTCAATGGTGTCTGCAGAGTAAGGCTGTCGTGATTGTGGCCAGTAAAGCCAATCAAATGTGCAATCCTCAAACTGTAAACATAGAGCCAAAAGAAATTAGTTCAGAAATTGAAATGATCTGTTTCTCCTTCTGGTAAGATGGTGATATGTCAATCCATACAAGTTTGTTGTGCTAGATATGAAACAAAATCTGCATGTGATGATGAAATACAATAATTGCCCCCAAAAAGTGGGGATGAGCATTAGTTGATCAAGAGATAGATATACTAACTGCACCCTTAAGAGTTAAGTGCATAGACATTAAAGCAGAATCCATAGAAAATGTTTACACAAGAACTAAACTGTGACCAATCTGAGCATTAGTTTTTGCTTTTTCCCAAATAATTGAATAAGTTAGGATCCATATATGATTTCCACAATTTTCTAAAGGATTCACACGTATAAATAAACATTACCTAATATTACACCATATTGATCTTATCTGATATCAAAGAAACAGGTTTAATCAGAAACAATATTGCACGAAAGAAATGACATGGATATTGATGCTAACTGATTGAACTTCGAGTCATGTGCCACCTGTTGATATTAACTTTGAATGAAAGAAATTACTAGAAGCTAACAGATTTAATTTCAAGTCATAATTCCCATATAGGAGTAGAGTGCAAAAACTTGAAAAAAAATATAACTTTTAAAAACCAAACATGGCATTATTGGAATGATAAAACCACACTTACATTCTCAGGCAGGCAATAGCCATGATCAATTGGAATAAGCATGGTCTGGCCATCCTCCCCTTTGCCAATCAGAATATTCCCAGCATGTCTATCAGCATTTGCCATTCTTATATCGAACACGCTGATCTTGTGCACTTCTTCCACAGGGAAACCCCCAGGACCCATGTCCTCGCAACTCCCAGAGTTCTTCATAAACATCTGTAACGACCCAACCTTAACATCCTCAGGTGCACATTCGTACCCCTTCGGATGGTTAAATCCTTTGTGCAAGCACTGAACCATGCAGGTAGGGGGTACACCAGCAAACCCCATCATCTCACCTGACGAAGATCGAGGTCCACTCTTTGGATGATCCAAGATATAAGCAGCCACTTCTCTCACTGCTCCCTCTCCAACCCTTGTACCCTTTTTCAACCCTTCACCATTCGTTGATACAGGTAACCCCTGTGGGTTGTTCACAGCCATTGGCTCCTCATCAATTGGCTTAAAAATGGAAACATAATCAAGCCCCAATTTATCTTGCATAAAATAAGTCCCTCCAGTCCCTTCAGATGATCTAATTGGCTGATTCCCAATCTCCAAACCATCGAACGTCGAATGTATCATGTCCCACATAAAAGAAGGCAATTTCACCTTAGGATTAACAGTAACCGGTTCCAACCAGAAATCTCTAAAAATTGGCTCCTTTGTCAAAATCTGAAGTCCCTCGGATTGGTTTGTCTCTCCTCCTACACTCCCTCTCCTCTCATCTACATCACTCTCAGCGACAACCGAGAGTTCCAAGTCTCTCTCCACAGGCTTAGCTCGAACTTTGGCTGATTTCTGAACCAACAAATGGATGACAGCATCGTTATCTTTACATAAATCATCAATAAGCCTTTGGTCATCGACTTTTTCCCCGTTACAAAATATTTCTTGTTCATCAACATCTACAAAACCCTTCCCTTTTCTTGCTATCCTTTGCTTCAAATACCCAACATTTCTATACCTATCAACATGCAATTCAAATTCTTTCCCACAAGTAGTCCGTACAGTGATAAGCAAAAGATCGGAAAGCTTTAAAACTAAATGCAAAACATTCCCACCTTTCACGCCGTAGTCTTTAACAAGGGAATCGTTACGAGCCAATTCTCTGCCTCCGAAAACAAGCTTCTGTTTCTTCACTACAAAGCCTTTGCATGTCTGGATCCGAAGCTTAACGGAGGCTATCGAGTCCGACTCCAAAACTCGCATTGGAATCACCGAACCGGCAACCGAAAGGTAAACCAAGATCGACTCACTCGGCTGGTTATTGCAATAACCAGGGGAGCGAATCGCCTCTTGACGAACAGGACTCAAAGCAACATCGGCAACAGACATTTCTGCAAATATTGTTCTTCTTTTAATTTTTTGCAAATAATTAGGAAATTAAGGCTATTTTCTGTTGCCTAAGTCTAAAACATGAATGAGAAAAAGGGGGGGACGAAATTGAAAAGAGATGAATAATTTTTCTATCTCTCAATCTCTGCAATGGCAGTCACAGAGACTGGGGCATAGCTGCAAATTTGTTTTGTTTTGTTTCACAAAGGTAATTAAATCGCAAACTTGGTTACAAGAGACAGTGGATTCTTCACCAGACGAAAAGAATCGAGAGCGAATGTTCAAAAATGAAAGCTTTTTAAATTGACAAAAACAAAATCTGTGGAGGTGGCGATCCACCTACCCGATTAATTAACACGACTCGTCATTTTTTTTCCCGATATTGGGGCTTTTTCCGTTTCTAGTTGCGCGATCTTTTCGCCGATTTTCTCTGCTCCGATACAAAAAAGGATGTCGTCGACGATAAGAGAGAGAAGAAGAGAGCGAAAGAGAGTGGAGGAGGAACGGTAATGTAGCCGTTGGCTTTATATAAGCTTTGACCCAACGACTATAACGGGGCCGTGTTTTAAATTATAAACCCACGCCGTTAGACTGTCAGTAACGGTCGTTTGAGCAAGTTCAGAGGAGGAGCGGAGGTGCTGAGTTTACCGAAATGCCATTGACAATTTGCGTAATTTACTCAGGTAAGTTCGCCGAAGGGGCTTGGATAATTAAATTATGAGTGGGTGGAAATTAATGCCGATAAATTAGCAAAGAATTAGTTGGCAATTTGATGGGTGTAATTGTGATTAAAGGGGGATTACTCGATTTCAACGCGACATCTTTTCCCTTGAAACCGAAGTGTTCATAATTAAGTTAAGAAAGTGATGTTATTGCAATGAGTAATACTTGATAATTTACCTCATAGTGAAATTCTTGAACAATTAGATAATTAAAATATAATTTTTATTCCAAATGGAGACAAAACGAGTTGGATGCCCTTTGATTCCGCAATTAAGTTAT